AAACTATACATCACAAGGGTCTTCTCTGTAGGTAGGTGCAAATAGGTGGAAAAGATCAGTCATGGACCTTTGTGTAAATTACAGCATCGTTCAGAGGTTATGGCAACTTCACAAGGATATCAGACGTGCTCCTCCGCGGCAATGAGTTGCAGTAAATAACTCATTTCCTGGATACGCTCATAACAGGCAGATATTCTAACGACACAGGATTTGCTACTGGACACACATGTTTGAAAAGAATTTCAATGCAATTGTAAAAGTATTATGGTGTGTGGACAACACCATCAAAAAATATTAAAAGTGCTTTTTATTCACTTGGGCATAATACTGATTTCTTCTGCATATTTAAACTTATTTGGCTAATTAATTAAATAATACAGGCTAGAGTTAAGTTTTTGTTTTTCATTGTAACACATTATTCCAGAAACTTGTTTTTACTAAATTCTGCACAGGACTGTTTTCAGAAATCATACCAAAGTGCAGCTATGTTCTTCAAAAAATGTTCCTTTCACAAAGGAAATTTTAAAAATGGCTACAAGAAAAAAATAGTCAGCTCTGAGTACATTTAATGTTTCAATGATTTCTTATCTCAGAGGGAAAACAAGACAAGTTTACTTTGCTGAAATTTTCTGAAGTGAATTCTGACTGAAAAGAAGTGGCAGTGATTTAACAAAAACATACTGTTATAAAATATGATATATGTTCAGAAGCATAAATGATGGTGTTATAAACATGTACTTCTGCATTAGGTAAGAGCATTTTGGTCAGTTGAATTAGTCAGATTTTTTTTTTTTTAATTCCTTTCCAGTTGATCTCTTTTGTTCTGTAAATTTGAAGTAGCTCAGTCGCTACTTTTATCTATAATTTGGGCCTTCCAACAGCACCAAATTGTGCTGTCCCATCCTCCAGTCTGACTATTTGTTATGGTGACTGGCAGATAGAGGCAACATGTTAATGCAAGTTCTAGAAAAGTATCTGTGAAGAAAATATTTTTTTTACTTTAAAGGGTAAGTTTATATGAGTCTATATCTTTAAGTATTTGTCAAAGAGTATTTTTTCTTGTTAAAGAGAGTGATACCTGAATCATAAAAGTGCTCCATGTTTGTATTTGTGACAAAATATCACTCTGCAGATGTGTATTCACAAAAATCAATTGTCACTGTATGTTTAAGAATATCACAATAATTTTAATTGATTTTCTTAAAAAGTGTCTTGATTTATTAGACTGTGGAATGCAAAGCCCTCTTTCAAAATTCATATAGCATTTCCAATTGTAAGATTGTTTTATGTAGTGAACTTATTATTACATATGCATATTCTAGTGGCCTCTAGAGACTTTTAATTTAAAACATAAATTACATATAATTTCAAACTCTGATGTCTTTGACTTTAGTCACAGAACTTACTTCCAGGACTTTCTGCTACTGATGGCCTGTGGTAATATATCAATTCTCCCAACAGGAATGTGCACAGGACAAACTAGTGAACATAATTTTAGCCATATGAGGTCATTACAAATATAGCCTTAGCTCTTCCTAAAGTGGACTTCATTGTTAATATAAATATATGTCTATAATTACTGACATTTATATTATTTGGCTCCTGTCCTAAGTTATGGATGCAGTGATGATAAAAGGGTCTTGCAAGCCCTTACCTAAGCGAACCACGCTTACTAATTACCTTCCATGGTTCTGGGTTCCTGTAAATAAAGTTACTCATGTATTTATAAGCAAGTCAAAATCTATACACATATTTCTAAAAGTGAATTATCTTGCTCTTTGGGGCAAACAGTACAGTCTACGGCTTGGACAAGAACGCTGAGAGTAAAGCCATCCAAGATTCTTCCCAGCTTCTGCCAGGACGCGTACTCTCCTGTATCATTGGATATCAGACTCAAATACTTAATCCAGTCACATTTTTTAATTGTCTGAGGCCCTAAAACAGAAGATCCCATTTGAATAAAAAGATGCATTACTTTAAAGTAACAAATGCCTGTTGATTTTTCATCACTGTTTCCAAAGAGACTGGGATCAGAGGGTTTGTTTTAAAAGTCTGTTTGTTCAAAAGGTGTAGTTCGCAAGACAGAAGGAGTAGCGAAGTGCAGCATGGAAGATCTCAAGACAAAGCAGCAGCCTCAACGTTTCTAATGAGAAAAGGAAAAGACAGTTGAGGTCCCATAGGAATGCAGTATTTAGGGAGAGAACCAAGACTTCTTTCATAAATGGAGAGATAACCCTGATGAATTCTGGACTACCTGCTATCTTAGGGGCATGTCTAGGTTTAAGAATGATTTGGATCACAGGCTGTAACATTTTCCAGACATTCAGATTGCAACTACTAAGCCAGCAATTTTATGCTTTCCTTTCCCTGACTCCAACAGTACCGCGATATAAGCAGCCAGATTTTCTTCTGCATTGTGTTTTTTTTATCCATTCAGCCAAAATTAACAGTCTTCGAGGATAACGTATGCCAAGCGAATTTAAATCTTGCGGACTCAAATCGACCTAAAGTTGATGGATACATTCATGCCTACTGCTGAAATCTACCAATTACACAGAACTATGTTAACTTACCATAGAAACATCTCATCTAATAGCACAGATGATGTTGAACTAACTAATTACATTATGGCACATAGACAATGAAAAACATAACGAAGATGACAGCACAGCAACAGCAGATGCTGCACAAAAGAAAAATTAGAAAAATATTGCTCTGCAAAATGCTCTCAGTTAAGGTTTCTTCCGTTAAAATTAATCACAAAAATTAGTGAAGATCAGATTTCAGAAAAAGATATGAACATTGTAATGGTATTTGGGAGACATCATTAAGCCTTTTAAAACTCTGCTCCTTGAGAAGGTAATTCCCATTTTTTTGTATCACTGTCAGTTTTAAGACTAGTAAACATTTTAGTGCCTATGGCAGAGTTTTGTGGTAGAATATCTCTTCCAATAAGGAGAGGTCCTGATGGCTCTTCCAGAGTCTGAATTTGGTAGCTTCCAGCCATTACAGGCTTAGATAATTAGACAACTTAGATTTTATTTTAGCTTGGCATTTCCTCTATTCTTGTGCTCTTAGCTTTCAGAGAGCTAGAATAACAGTGACTGTTGATTATCTGTAGCATGCCTTGTTACTTTATAGATTTTAAAGTGTACCAGATCCTAAATAACAAATCTAAAGCTGCTGAGTATGTTTAAATGTAGTATGTACATGTAGATTACATCCAGATGATATATTTCATAGACCTATGCTAAAAAAATATATTATTTTTAACCACAACACTGGTCCTCTCCCCCCTTTCCCCGCGGCAGCTTTCCACGAGCTCCCAGTCCGCTTTATGTGCAGACTGAACGCATCCCAGACTGCGGAGAAAGGCAGAATGAGACTTTTCTCCCGCGTTTAAATCATACCTGTGGTGCCATTCAAATTTCAATATTTTATTTGCTATGTAACTAGAAGCAAAACACATCTGCACTGCCCTATGTTTTCCCAAGCACATTTTTCCTAGCCAGACATTTTTCCCTCCAGTTCTAAATGGTTACTGGGCACGCGTCTCCGTGGTCCAGCTAAGGCCAGGGATGCAGAAACGAAGGAGGCCCACAGGTGGCGGTGTGGTTAAACCACACCTGGGCCGCGATTCCCGAGACCAGATGCACCAGTCGGCCTGCCAGAAGGGAGTTGGTCTGCATTTTTGTACCGATGCACTCATCTGTAAATAAATACTCCCGGCTGAAGTTTCGTATACCTGTGCAGGTACATCCCTTCTACGTTAGCCTCCAGCAGGAACAGGTTTCAAATACTTTGTTGCCTCGGACAACGGAGAGGCCGTGGACACACGCAAACTTGTAATTCCATCACCCTGCCACCGCTAAATATTTATTTGACAACAGCAATTAACCGTACCCCCCCCCGAGCGGTGCCGGGACCTGTCCTGCCCTCTCCTGCGGCGCAGGTCAGCGTCAGCCTGTGTGCACGCAGGGCCGCTGCCCCTGCCTCGCTGCAGTTGCATCGGCGCCTGACCAGCCAGCCCCACTGTCCTCACTGCATTGGCTGCTCCTTACGTCAGCCGTCTGGAATCGAGAAACTCGTATTATGAAGTTTTTCTGTTCTTTCGCAGATCCTGGAAATGCATCATTTATCTGACTCTGCAGCCGTGGTTTGCTCGGCGAAGCGCGTTTGCGTACGCGGCGTGACAGAGGCGTGCGTGTGCCCTGTGCGAGACAATACCAGGCAAAAGCCTACTCTAGCAGTTGGGCGAATCCCCCGACGCCTGCAGGAGTAACTGTTCACGGGGATAACACCCGCTAATTACGGCGCATTTATAGACTCTTTTGTTATTTTGAGGGTCTTCCTCGGCTACACGGTGCTGTACTTTTGCTTATCCTGCGTGCTGCGCTTAGGCCTCAACAATGTGCAATTAATACGTGGGTGGTAGTTTTGGGGTTTTTTTCCCCAATGTTAAGTGTCCCTACTGAATATTACTTCTTCTGATTTGCTATCATCCTTGGGCTTCTTCCTCAGAAATGCAGTTGTCTTCTCAAATGACAAGCCGTGCAGCTAACTGCCAGCCAACTGCGGCAGTTTAACCCTTTTAAACCTTGACAGGGTGCTAATAACAGAGGGCCGTATCCGGACGTGGATTCCTAAGGACAGCTCCCCGACGGTTTCACCGGGGGAATTCTTAAAAGTCGGCGGCTCGGCGCGGCCCCCCCCACCCGAGGGGCGAGCCGGGCACGTCCCTCACGGCCTCC